GCACCCACGATCGCTCGCGCGGCTGCATTCTGGACGAGTTGAAGTCTCCGAATACTCTTCAAAGGCTGCCCCATGTAGAGTGCATTGCAGTAGTCCCATGTGCATGTTGGATGCCCACAACTACGAGGTCATTGCAGGACGAGAGACATCTGGGGAACGAACTGACCCAGAAGAGATCCGTGATTAACCAGACCTTCAGCATGGAGGGTCTGCGTCCCTTTCTCTTCATTCTCGCCATCTTCCTGGGAGCTTTGGCTCAAGAAGGTGAGTTAAATCTTAACAAAGGACACCTGGAGGTGATGCGCATCCACTGAAGATTTGCTTTGTTGGGCACCTGCACATTGTGGTGCATCCAGTTTGGGTCACCACAATATAACAAAGACGTTGAGACTCTAGAAAGAGTGCAGAGAAGAGCAACAAAGAGGATTAGGGGGCTGGAGGTTAAAACATCCAAAGGATGGTTGCAGGAATCGGGTATGTCCAGTAGTATGAAAAGAAGGATTAGGAGAGACAAGATAGCAGTCTTCCAATATTTGAGGGGCTCCTACAAATAGCAATAGCCTTAGACTTATATATCGCTTCCCAGCGCTTTTACAGCCATCTCTAAGTAGTTTACAGAGTCCGCCTCTTGCCCCCCAACAATCCGGGTCCTCATTTTACCCACCTCGGAAGGAGGGAAGGCTGAGTCAACCTTGAGCTGGTCAGAATCAAACTGTTGGCAGTGTGGAGAGTTAGCCTGCAGTACTAATCACTGGGAAGAGAAGGAGGGAGGGAGGAAGGAAGGAAGGGCAATAGCACTAGCACTTAGACTTATATACTGCTTCGCAGTGCTTTTACAGCCCTCTCTAAGCGGTTTACAGAGTCAACCATAAAGCAATTTGAAAGATAGGATGATTTTTCAGAAGAGGTTGCTCATAACTGTAGTCCTCTTCCTTCTCCTCTTTCTCCTCCTTTTCCTTCGAAGTTGTCTGCTTCCTTCCTTCCTTCCTTCCTTCCTTCCTTCCTTCCTTCCTTCCT